GAATTTTAATAAACTGCCTTAAAATCATGATTGAATAACCGATAAATTTCATAAAATCACTTATAATACTGATTGAATACCCTTATATTTATCAAAAAAATTAAAACACCTCATAACCCCAACTGAATACACATCCAATTTCGATTTTCAATTTCTAATTATATCTCAAGAAAAATGGTGAATTAAACCTGTTGGAAGGAGAGGACGTCAGAGGCGAACCGCATGCGCTCGCCTTTGTCGCATTTGATGGACTTTGGGACATTGGGTATGCAAACGCCGCCTGCGCCTGGAACCGCAATCTCTCGAACTTGATCATCATCGATGACGATCAACCGACTATCAAGCCCTGACTGCTGCCTCTTGCAGTACTTGAGCTTCAAGTCCACGGTCAAATCATACCCCAACCCTATCGACTGTATTGCAAGCTCCGCCTCCGCCGCCGCCCTTCTCTTCCCACTCGTCCGACCGCTCATCTCTCCCTGTGTATTTTTCTCCCACTTTCTCATCAACCAAACACCTTTACCAGGATGGATGGACTGCCAAGCGAACCGGCGGCCGTCTTGTTCGTTTTTCTTCTCTTGGTTGCCTTTGTTTTATCGAAGACTGGTCAACACAGATACAAATATTATTACAACAATATAAAAATGCATTTATTATTAATTGGTGGTGTTGTGCGTTTGTGTTTTGTATGGAGGGTGGGGGCGGGGGTGGGTGGGGGTTTGACTAGGCGGAGGCTGGACCATAGACACTGGTGTGGCCTTCGAGAGAGCAAGTCAAACGTTTTGCGCTGGCGTATGCTTCTGGGAAGATGCTGCTGCAGCCAAATTAGCTGCCCTTGGAGTTTTAGAGCAAGTCTATCGTTTTCGAAGGAAAGACCATTGATACGTATTTGAAGGTAAAAAATTTCTCAAAAAAGAAAAATTAAAGGTAGAAAAAACAAATTTGAAGGTAAAAATTTTCTCAAAAAAAGAAAAATTAAAGGTAGAAAAAAGTTTTAACTGGTATGTTAATTTTATGTGAATTGACATATGAAAGCACCTTTAAAGTAGATGTCAAAGTTTTATTTTTATCAAACGATAGATTTTGTTAGATTAGTCACCGATAGGGTTCGAACTCACACTTTCATGCAAGAGCGCAGTATTTATCTACCATTGTGGTAAAGGGCCACTTGCTAAGTAGATGTCAAATTTAAATATCAATATGATATTTTGATGGTTTATGTAGCAATTTAACATTTTTTACAATTTTTTGTTTCACCTGATATATTAAATAATAATGTCATTCTATATTTTATTTTTATCTTTTTGGGGTTTCAATTATTGAGGTAATCAATCAAATACTTATAACACACAACATTTATTATATATTGCTACCATTTTTTATTGTTGTATGTTTATGTGGCATTTTTGACATTTCCTTTAGGAATGCTCTTAGACCATCTCCAACTAAATGGTCTAGATGGCCGAAAAACACCAAAAAACCTTCTCTAACCGAAGGAAGGATAGGCCAGATGGGTCATGGGCCCCACTGGACAAAAAATGGCCAAAGGGCCAACCAACTAACCCAAATAAGCCAGTCAGCCAGCCCTGAGCTAAGCAATAAATTTGAGCATTTTTGTCGAATATAACAGACAACAATGCTAGGCCAAATTTCAAATGCAACAGCTAGCTTACGTTAGGTACCGTTGGATTCAATTTTTTTTTTTTTTTTGGTTTTTTGGGCCATTTTTTTTTAATTCTTAAAAAATCTAATTTTTTTCCTATAAATACCTAAATCATTCATTCACCATTCCTCACAAAATTTTCACCATTTCAATTCTCATATTTTCTTACCTCTTTCAAAAATATAAGTTGTTTTTAAATTTAAGTTAATGTTGTTTTTAAATTTAATTTTTAGTTTTTAAATATAAGTTGTTGTAGTTTTTAAATTTAAATAATAAATTATGTTTGGGCCTCAGTTGGAGATGGAGGCAAATATGGTCATATACTGTTCTTTGAAATATTAATATCTTGGAGGGCCAAATGGCTAAAACGATCCATCTGACCAGCCTTCAGTTGAAGATGGCCTTAGGCTGTCTCCAATGGGAGGGTGGCAAAAAAAACCCAAAATTTAGGTCCAAATCATCTCTAAGGGATGTATTTTGGGATGAGAAAAATAGAATTTTGGGTTTGAGGTAGGTATTTATGTCTTTTACCCCTCTCAAATTGATAAGCTTTCTAGTGGGCCAAGGTCCTGCGAAATTTGTTTCATCATGCGAAACAAAACCACGCCGGCCTCACGCAACTGCAACAAGATGGCAGAGGGATTTCTTAGGGGGAATGCACGACAAGCAAGGGTTCTACGGGCCTACGGCCCAGATTGGCGCATCGTTGAGATCCAATGGTTGTAGCGCCTTTGGAATTTTTATCTAATGTGGTAAGGAAACTACATCTTTTTTAAATTCACCGACTCAAATTCAATCTAATCAATTTTAACGATAATAAAAGACCCAACGACTCAAATATAAATTTAACGATCAGAATAATCCAAATCAGATTCAACACCAAAATTCTATACACACCCATCCACTTGTTCTCTAATCCATAAAAATTTAATTTTTTCGTTCAAAGTTTGAATTTTTACATCAAAATGTTCGCAAAAATAAAACAAGATAGATTTTACAAAAATAACTAAATTCAAAATTATTAGAAAAAAAAATCAACGAAATGCAAAATCTAACAAATTATAAAGTTGGAGGTGGGAATTATAGTTCTCATACTGTTAAAGGTCAATACGAGACTAAAATTTGGAATTTCCCACTCTTAGCTTGGAGATAGCCTAGTCCTGGACTCTTGTCTTTTTCCTGCTCTGCTTCCACCCTTTTCCCCCATATTTTTCTCATGGCTCCTCGCCTGCTTTCTATGTTCTAGGAGACTCATTTGTTATCCCACTTGCGACTAACAAACATTTATCGTTCAAAAGGAAATTGTTTGTTCTCTTTATCATTATCTAAAATTTTTTGAATTTGGAAGTCGTTTAGTCATTTATGTGTGTTAAACCAATAAACTGTTTTGGTACAAGTAGCATTCTCATGATAAACTATCAATTTGTTTTATGCATATGAATGGTTAAAAGATCTCTAAATTAAATAATTTTTGCATATATGATCTTTATAAAATAATAAAGATAATAAATGATTCTAACTATGATGTTCAGATGGTAAATGTCCATTAAATGGAGGACGTAAGCATTATCCCTCGCTTAGACCATCTTTAACCCTTGACTTAAAACCTAAAATTTTGAACCCATAAAATTTAGGTTTTAACTCACAAACAGTTTTTTTTTGTTCCAACCCTTTTATGGGTTAAATTTTTAGCCCAAGATTATTAAATAATGAATTCAGGATGATTTTTTTTTCTTAAAGTAACTTTAAAAAAAAATTTATGTAGACCATCCAAATTTAATTTTATGAACATTTTAACCTTAAAATATTTAGATTCTGATAAAACTAAAAAAATTATTAAATTGACACCATAAAACTCGTGGAACACAATGAAAGAATATGAAACACATGAAATATTTTTTTTATATAATTATTTTAGTTGTTGAATTTAAATTTAGACTGTTAAATTTTTTTATATTACCATTGGATTTGATAATATTAGACCTTAACCGTTGGATTTAGTAAATTTGTAAATATAAAAAAAAATACACATATATAGTGGGCCAACCCACTAACCCAGGGAGAATCCTGGCTTTAATTTGCCTCTAATGATTTTTAATTTTGGGTTAAAACTTATATTTGATCCAAGGGTTGGAGTAAGTTGAGGTAAGCTTATAATCTAAAATTTGAGTTTCAATGATTTGGAGTAGGTAGGTATGACTCAATAAAAAAATGAAGACCAAGAAAAGTTAAATAGCCCATTATTTAAAAAAAAAAACATAAACATGTGTTAAATTCCATTGGACAAAATCTAAAAGTGAGTAATCACAAATCAGTGTTCAAGTATTATCATCATTTTCTTTGCAAAAGCTTGCTCAAGAAAATTGTATGCATAAATTGTTTGATTTGCAATGCTAGTAGTTGTTCTTTGAAGATTTGTCAAATTCAGGTGGAGTATCTAGAAGTATACTCACTTAACCGTAGTGTACTCTTTTCTCAACGATCGTGATTATTTTGTCCCATTAGATTTTTGTTACCCTCTAGTGCGTTCTGAAGACGTTTAGTTTTGACTTCGGTGGTGCTATCCACACACCTATTTTTAACTCTCACACACCTCTCAATTTCCGTCATTCAGATCTAATGAATTCAAGAAGATCAATGGACAAAAATTAACCACTACTCTTTTGACTTAATTCATCTTTTCACTTTTCTTCTTAGTTTATGAGTTTTGTTATGCCTTGAGTTTTACCACATTCAGGTTTTGTGAAGTTGATTTCTATATGCATTTTTTCGGTTTGTTTGCAGACTCACCTTCACTCAATGTGTCAATTAGATGAGATGACTTCATCAACTGCTTATACATTATTCATGAAAATATGATACTAAAACTACTTGAGTAATTACACATTCAAAGTCAATGTTATGGTATTTCTGCCGTCTATTCCTTCAGCAAATTAGCCCATAACAGTAATAGTAGTATTACTTTGAGAATGAGGATCCTCTTCGGATCCTTTTCAGATCATTTTCAGATTCTTTTTGTAAAGATTCTAATATCCTTAAATCACATTTTTTTTATCATACATTGTACGGTTAGTTTTTGTTAAACATGATTTATATTTAATGTTAAATAAAAAAATTTATAATAATTTATAATTATACAATGTACGATAAACGAACATGATTTGAGGATCATCATTCTTACTTTGACAAGTGAAAGAAAAGTAATTTAAATGATAAGATCGTAATAATAAAATAAGAAGGTGGATAAAACCTTCCACATGGCAATGAACGTGGTCAGAGCGCAAAGTTTGACTATTGACCATTTCTCCGTCTGACCCTGTGAAGTTTCACAAGTCTGAGAGAGAGAGAGGACTAGACGGCTGCTGAAATTCGTCTACTTGATGAATTTGAGTGCGCTGCTCTATCGAATTCTTATGCATTTATTTAATCTTATTATTTCAACCACTAATTATAATAAATTAAAACAACAGCCAAAGCGCGGCCTGCTTCTTTGGCTGCAGCCGCTGCTTCTACTTCTGGGCTTCGGCTTCTGCTTCTGCTGGTGGTGGTGGACTTTTTCTGAATTGGGGTTTCATCATCATCAATCACTTGTTCATCTATCAAAGTCCCAATCTCTGTCGTTGCGGTGGTGATCATTAGGAAATTAAGAAGATGGGAGCGGTTTGTTCCAAGAAGTCGAGGAGTACGAGCGTGAAGAGCGCCGGTTGGGATATCAATCGGCAACAAGTTCAAGTTGAGCAGCCCAAGTCAAGCTTGAAGACGGGTGGCGGCTTCACTCCGTCCTCGCCTCAGCCTCCGCGCAGGGATGACAACGAGGAACAGTTTTCAGACAAGGAAGACAATCAGATTCAGATGGATAGAATTAATCCTTTTGCGTATGAGTCTGACGATGAATTCTACGACGGAATTCCGCGCTATCCCACCTCCTTGTCTCAGAAATCCAGCTCCTTTCGCTCTAAGCAGGCCGCCGCTAAGGTTACTTGTTCTTCCATTTCTCATTCTCTTATATAATACTTACTATTTTTACTGTGTGTGGTTATAATATTGATTGCTTGTGTCTCTGCTGCCCCCTTTTGGGTATATAGGGAGTAGGGTTTAATTTTCCACATGAAAATGGTGTTAATGCAAAGTGCTGCAGGTTTCTGAGGTGAGTTCGCGGTTGGGCAGAGCTGGCAGTGCTGGCCTTGGAAAGGCAGTCCAGGTCTTGGACACACTCGGGAGCAGCATGACAAATTTGAATTCCGGCCCTGGTTTCGCTTCCGCAGCACCTGCCAAAGGCAATGAAATTGCAATCATTTCGTTTGAGATTGCCAACACTATTGTTAAGGGTTCCAATCTAATGCAATCCCTTTCCAAGCGATCTATGCGCCAGTTGAAAGAAGTGGTGCTTGTTTCACAAGGTGTGCAGCATTTGGTGTCCAAAGATATGGATGAATTATTAAGGATTGTTGAGCTGACAAAAGGTGGAAGCTCAATCTAGTGCCAAATACTTACCATCTATTTTTTTTTTCTGCCGATAAGTGAGCTTTATTTTATAACTCATTTGTACAACTTTACCTTTGGTTTATAGGGAAGAACTACAAATTTTTTCGGGGGAGGTTGTTCGTTTTGGAAATCAATGCAAGGAGTCTCAGTGGCACAACTTGGACCGATATTTTGACAAGTACTATATACTTGCCTTGCATTACTTATTTTAGGAATGCCATTTTCATTTTTTGTATGCCATGTCTTTACTTGGTGACGTCTTATTTTGCTCTACAGAATCAGCAGAGAACTTACCCCTCTGAAGCATCTGAAGGAGGATGTAGGTTCGTTGATGCAGCAACTGATGGCTTTGGTCTTGTTTACTGCTGTAAGTATCGTCTTGTTTGAATTTGAGTGGAACAAAGTTCTAAGAATATTCAGATTCGTACATTGTTTTTTTGAGTGATCTTTCTTCAACTAGTTAATTGGATCCACGCTTTGACCCATATAAGTTGTTCTGCGAGTTTGGTTCTCCAAGTAAAATGCCACTTTTCATCTGGTTGGTGGTTCATGGGAAAATATTTACTTGTGACTTCCTCCATGAGAAGGCCTGTTGTATGTTTGTCTTCACAATGGTGTGAGTGGTGTACATAGAAGGGGAAGAGCTGTGACCATACATTTTTACAGTGCAATTTACTAGGAAAATTTGGGCTGCATTCTCGGAGGTTTTGGATTGTTTGGTAGGAAATGCATAAGGATCTTTGAGGAAATGGAGTAACTTTGGGATGTGAATAGACCCCACTTAGTGGGAAAAGGCTTTGTTGTTGTTGTTGTTGTTGGCTTAAGCATTTTAAAGACAATCTTTCTGATGCGATTCTTCTTGATTTGGGAGTATTGTACTGAGTCTAATATATTTTATTGTTTGGGGATCTTAAATTAGATTTGACTAAATTCTGTTCCATCTTACCAGTATATTCTTCTCTTGAAAGATGGTCTTCTTTGATTTAGCTATCTTGTCAGAAACTAGTTCCTCATTACTAGTCATCATTTGTAAGAGATCTGTTGTGAGTGTTGACTGCTAATCATCTAATTTTTTAAATTAAGCAATCTGATTATTTGTAATTACTAATTACCAATTAGCATAAAATAACAGAATCAATATTTAGTTGTTTCACTGACTAGTAGTAATATTTAGAACATCAGCTTTGATAATAGTTGACCCATAAAAGCATAGGAGAGTCCTTTATGAAAGTTTCTTCCGTTGCGTCCTCAAATACTGTATCCAACACTGAGCTCAGTGTTCAATTTAAAGTGATCTGACTTTAAAATCAAAACATTTATATTCATCTCTCCGCAGGAATTATACCATGAGTTTCATGCGTTGGACCGATTGGAACAAATCTATGCACGCAAGCGTCAGGAAGAAGGTAATTCAGTTTCCACACAAAGAGGGTGATGAAATGATTTGTTTTCTTTTTTAGGACATTTCTTTATACAGGTTGAACTGTAGGCAGAACTAACTAGATGTATGGACCATTTGAGGAGTGAACACTATACAGGCATTCCAAAATAATAGAATCCCGAAAATGACAAAATATTGCAAGGCATTATAATTGAACCTTGAAAACTAAGTCCCCAAAATACTACATAAGAAATGCAAATTTTATCCTTATAATTATATGCATGCCTAAAATAAGTATAAATTTCTGCATGCCTAAAATAAGTATAAATTTCTTTGTTGTGTCCATCACAAATAGATAGGATATTGAACAGACATAAAATCTCCTTTTCACATAATTTATCGTCTTGTAGTTCTGTCTTTCCATTTATTTATTATTTGATCATAAAAGTGACTAATAGATTTTCTTTCTTTGTATTACTTGCATAGTGATGAACCTTGAGACCCTAGAGTCTATCACCATGTACTACTTTGTGCATTCATGTGAAAAAGTCGTGATTTATGCTCTGATGTAGAGTAGTCATTATTTTTCCGTATTCATTAACATTGCATTAAGTAATGCATGTTAAATAAAGGAACTTTCGTGAAAAGGTCTTCGGTTAAGTTTAAACTTTAATAAAAAGAACAAAAAACTTAAAGTTTTAATGAAAAAGACATAATTTTAATATTAAAAAAAAAGACTCGCAGGACCCACTCTTCATCACACGTACTGTTTATGAAACTTAACGGTACTACATTGTTTATGAAACTTAACAGTGCTACATTGTTTATAAAACTTAATGGTACTACACTGTTTATGAAACTTACTACACTGTTTATGAAACTTAACGGTACTGCATTGTTTATGAGACTTAATGTGCGCTGGGCACACATGTTTATATTTTATGTTTTTTCCTTTTTGTCCTTATCATTAAATACAGTTATTAGATGGTTTTTGGTTAAAATGCAACGTTTTGAAGCCCTTTTCATTAATTTTCCTGCTAAATAATTCAGTGTTGCTGTTCATCTCATAGGTGACAGCCTTGGAAGCTTGAGGTCAGGATTAAAAAGCCAAAGGAAAATAGTTAAATCTTTAAAGAAAAAGTCGCTTTGGTCCAAAAGTATGGAAGAGGTAAGAGGTAACCATAGGAAAACTTCATTATGTTTTATTTTTAGGCATTTGTCTTTTCCTGTTACTGCATTTATATATGGCTGCTTTCCTATTATGTGCTGTCTACCATCTTTAAAAGTTTAAACCTGTGCAATAGGCAAGATAAATGATAATGCTAATCTATCCAGTGCTAATTAATGTGTAATATTACGAAATTTTAAGTTTACTTTGTAAAATATGTTCTTTTGTTTGTCAGAAATTAATAAGTTATTCAGTACTCTAATCCCCAAAATAAAGAGGATGAGCTGGGGCGCATTTTGTAAATGAAAACAAAATTTGTCTTAGTTTTTTTTTAATCTTTTGTTTTTGAATTTGGTTTTTAAGTAAACATGGAAGACATTGATGAAGTTGAGGTACGTGACTTAGTTAACAAACAGGAAATGATATCCACACTCTCTTTTTATCCCTTTGCATTCCCCCTCTTGTTTCTTGCAACATGATTGAATATGTCAACATTCAACAGTGAGTGAAGGGACAAAAACAAGCACAGGAGTGCAGGAGAAGAAAAGAGTAGTGTTAAAATTGTTTCCCCTAACAAAAATGTCGATAGGAACGGACCTAGGTGACACGTTGCAACAAATTTTGGGTCTGACATTGTTATTTTCTTTTCGGTGGGTGGTTGGCAATCACATACCCCTCATATTTCTGGTGGTATAAGTGCAACTTTCCCAAAGGAGAGTATTACTTATCTGTTAACACTTCTTGTTTTAAACTATGCCCTCTTTTAGGTAAACTCTGATATGTTTTGCACCATAACTTTACACTGCTTGTTGCATTCCAGAGCGCAGAAGAAATGTGGAAAAGCCATTAAGGACAGTGAAATAAGTATAAAATTGAAAATCTTAACACATCCAAACAATCTGTCTCCCTGAAAGATCAATTACATGACCTAGGTTTTTTGTTTCATCTTTTTGGCACTGTATTGTTAATAATATGTTTGCTATATTATGTATCTTTTTTTTTTCTATAGATAAATAATTAAATATAAACCTGAAAGTTCATTCTCTGATTCATTAAAAAAGGAAGGGCATTTTGTAATTTGGAAAATTTGACATTTTGGAATACAGGTGATGGAGAAGCTTGTTGATATTGTCCACTTTTTACATCTAGAAATACATTCGGCCTTTGGTGGTGCTGGTATGTATCTGTTATGGTTCTTTGGTTCTTAAACTATGCATATGCCTGCCTTGGTTAATGATTCATCTTCATCTTTAAAGAGCCTAGTGTTTCTGGCTCAAAAGGTTTTCTAATTAATGAAATTCATGATCACATCTAAAAATCTAGAGTGTGTGAACCGCCACTACAATTTCTCTTTTCTTGTTTAGAAAATATATTTCACATCGGGTACCTTGCACCATGATATACACTATCCTGGACCTATCTACCCAATTACAATTAGGCGTGCTGAGAATATAAATCCCACTTCGAGTATGTCAAGTGTTGCACCAAATATGTTATATCTTGGGTGTCCCTACCTATATCCAATTCGTCTGGAGTTGCACAAAGAACTATTTATCACTCTTGCTTTAATAGTTGAGTTTGTGGTTCAACTTAATCTTATTTTGCATATAATTATCACTTTCTTACTACTTAAAGAGCCATTTTCTTTTTAACTTAAATAAATTAGCTTAAACAGCCTTTAGTTTAATTAATAGCATTTCATGCTTAGTGTACTTACAAAATAAGAAAGATATTGATACAAAGAATAGATGACTGTTCAACAAGCTTGTTCAGAAGTCTTATTAATAGATTAGTTTGTAGGGTTTAGTCCATTAGCGTATAGATAGGAGCTTAATCCCTTACCCATGCTACTTTTGAAGCTATTTAGAAGGTATTTTCTGCCATCCCATAAATTCTCAAATACTCTCTCTCAAATTATTTTCTTCGACGTTGTTCTTTGCCGCTGATGGTCGTCGCAGAGATGTTTTATTAAACTGTAGGAATAGTTCTTCAATGAAAGTGCATTGTCTTTAAAGTGTTCTATATAATTCCTCTTCCTTTGAAGAGAGCTGATGGAAACGATGCTTCTTCATTACATATGCAGATAGTCATGAAGCAGTGGAGGGACCTATGAGCAATCATCAAAGACTCGGACCAGCTGGACTTTCTTTACACTATGCAAATATAATCCTCCAAATTGATAGTCTTGTGAGTGTACTACTCTATTCTGTCCTTTTCTTGCATTTTACACGATACTAATGAAAATAAAGAGTTTTACCGTTGCATCATTTACTTTGTCTGTTTTTATTCATTCAGACTTTATCTGGGTGTATTTAAAGTTTAAACTAATATGAACAATGTTTAGGGTAACAAATCATAGAGATTGGGGGGATTGTTGATGATTCCACAAAACTCAGGCATAAGATGGCCTGAACTTCCAAATAAAAGGATATGCTTTCAATATGAATGTTGAGGGAGGAAATTATCTTTATTATTGTTTGTTCGGGGCTTTGGCCCTCCTTAGCAATGAGAGAAAACAAAATGTTTCATCATGTTTTGGAGGGAGGTACGATAATTTGGTGCCATATTACTTAGAAAGGTAGGTTGCTTAATCAAAGTTGGTAAGTTGAGCAAGGAGACTTTTCTCTTTCTTGTTCTTTCCTCTTTCTTTCAAAAAAAAAAAAAAAAAAAAAAGAAAAAAAAGAAAAATCCGTTTTGGTCCTTTTCGTGCATGAAATTTGATGGAGTACATTTAGAAACTTGCTTCAGCTTTTCAAAAGCATGTGGAAACATAGAAAGGTGGTGCCTGTTACAAACAAAATGGTAGATACCCAGTAATCTTGACTTTGTCTTTGTCATCAAATTTGGAACATACACCAAGGTCATTAGGTCTATACCATTTTGTCTGTAGAACTTGTGTCAAAACTTATGCATGACTCTCTAACATATAGAAACATATATCGGTCTAACAGAATATATAATACATCTTAAAGTCAAGATAATATGAAGATATACTCTGAAGTTCAAACCATAATGTAGACATTGTTTTTGTTGTTAAAATTTAAATATAGTACACCATAAAGTCAAAATAATATAAAGAGGTACTCTGAAGTTCAAACCATAATATTGACGGCATTTTTTTTTTGTTACACCTTATATAGTCGTCTTTACGGACTAGTATTGGAGATATTTGGTGCTGTCCTAACTTAGCATTCATGCTCCAAGTGGCTTCTTTATCAGGGGTCGAGCGTTGCACTTTCTCATGGTGACCCTAAATGTTTCTCATTGCGCTAACGACATATGCATAATCAAACAAATAGATTATGGGGGTTTTATAATCAAGTTATTTAGTTTGGCACGCACTGACATTACGCAATTTATTTAGATTAAATTATGGTATTCTAACAGGTAACTTCAGATCTTTGGGCTCAGCTGCTCAGGGATAAAATTATGGGTATTATTTATTACAAAAGATATGTATGTTTTTCTGAGTCTGCTTCGGTGTATAGGTAGCCCGGTCAAGTTCTATGCCTCAAAATACAAAGGATACATTATATCAGAACTTGCCGCCTAATATAAAATCATCCTTGCGCTCCAAATTACAGTCTTTTCATGTTAAAGAAGAGGTAATATCTCATTTCTTTATCTTTAGCTATAAAATATATTCCTAGGTCAATGTTCTCTTGCCTATCAGGTTGGTTCTTGTTTGAATGTTCGGTTCAAATTCAGGTAGGTAACATATGTAATTGTATGGCAAGAGAACTTTACTCTATATGTCTATATATATAATTATAATATGCACCTTGAATATGCATAACATAACTTTTGACTGCTTTTGGTGGACAGCATTTTGGTACTTTGGTTCTTTTGTTGTTGCAAATCATTCTTTGGAGAGATTTGTGTCCACTAAATTGTTTGACAATTTTTTTTCTGCAGCTTAGTATTACAGATATCAAAGCTGAGATGGAGAAAACTCTACACTGGCTTGTTCCAGTTGCTACAAACACAGCAAAGTAAGATGGCTAGCTGTTCTGCAAAACATACATATTTTTTGTATTTGTGAAACTCTTTTTGTAGCTGTAAGCTGTAACGTTTCTATGTTATTGATCATGATTTTGTTGGTTTGGATGCAAAAACTAATAACAGAGCCCATCATGGTTTTGGCTGGGTAGGAGAGTGGGCGGGCTCTGGGTGAGTAACAATATACTGCTTGTTTCAAAGTTTGGCTTTTACAATTTTTTCATTTTTGTGTGTTTTGAAGGCTTTCACTGTTTTTGTAGTAATTTATACTTCTGCTTTTATAGTTCCGAGTCAAACCGAAAGCCAATATCGCAGACTGAAGCGATTCGAATTGAGACATTCCATCATGCAGACAAGGAAAAAACAGAAGCCTGTATACTCGATCTAATCTTATGGCTTCACCATTTGGCTTGTCAAACCAAGTCTAGTGCCGATAAGGGGGGCATGAAGTCACCTGTCAAGTCCACAACCAGTACAACCCTCGTGAAGACAAATAAGCAGCTGCCCACTGGAGTTCAACCAAGCATGCTAACAACTGAAGACGCGGAGATGCTGCAGGATGTGAGCAAGAGAAAACGGATTCCAGGTAATAGTAAGAGTCAGGACTTTGACAGTGCCAGCTCTAGTTCAACAGAGGGCCGAAAATTGAGTAAGAGTAACAGCTACTCACATGGGCAAGGAAGCGAGAAATTGTTACATTTGAGTAGGCCCTCGTCTGGCGTTGATTTTGGTATCGATAAGGAAAAAGCACTGGATGTTATAGATAGAGTGGACGGACTCACAATCACATAGAGTTTACCGAATGTTATGTGTTATAGACGTCATTCGGCGGAGACGAGTCAAGTGGTATGTGCGGCAAGGGGGGAGAAATTTACTGTGCATATTTTCACCATGCTTATACATCGTGAATGTTTCGACCAAATATGAAAAAAAAGGGGGAAGGCATATGTACAGTGTGGATGTAGTGAGTGGTGAGTGACTGATTTTCTGAGTAGGGGTGTATAGAGCTCAAGGATGGGTGCTTTTGGGCACAAATATTTATATTTGTATTTGTAGATTTTATTTGTTTATTTTTAAATTATCTGGATTTCGATGTATCTGTGTGTGTTATATTGCACTATTACTAGTACAGTAATTCTAATAGGTGCCATTTTGATGGGTGGTTTTCAGTATAATAGCAAATTAAACTACTGCGCAAAAATCCTCGACCGGCTTTAATAAAAAAAAAAACAATTAATTCATATGACGAGGTTAAAATGGAAGTGAAAGGAGAGAGGATTTGAGAGCAAGTCCGCCGGTTGTGCCTTTGGAGGGCAAGGGCTTTGGAACTGCCCTTTAATCCAAAAACATGCTTCTAGCAGGTCATTTTGTTGAGGGCAATTGGTGGGCCAATACATGCCTGCCTAAATGCCCGAGCAATTTGAGCTTGACCTTGTGTAGTGGGCAAAGTTGATGTCAACATGATATCAGTCACGTTTTGTTGGCGCATGTAATACACGTGCGAAATGGGTGAGTGGGCCAACAACTTTTGCTGTTGTGGCCCCACTACTAGAGCTCCAAGAGAAATTCTAACGGCTGCCTGACGTGGCACGCAGAGCTATTGGACTTCCAATGGTCTGATGGTCTGGACCATTAGAAATTTTTTTAAAAAGTTATGATTGTGCCATGTGGCACATTCTGGAACGTCAAATTCAATAATAAGAAAAATCAAACGGTTAAATTAATTCAATCGATAAAAATGAAAAAAAAGGGTAAAAAATAGGAAAGAAATTTAATTTGTTTATTCTATAAATATCCATCTTCTTCATTCACCTTTTATTGTTAATTAATTATGCTTTTATAATGCTATGTTTTCCTTAATTTACATGCTATGGCCTTTGCCTTGTTTTTGTTTTGCCCTTACCCTCCTAAAAGGGTGGGGGACTTACTCTTAGTTACACAAAGAATACAAAGGGTTTGAACCTGAGAAACATTAGGCTAACAAGGAAGAATATGTATAATTTTTTTGTTCAAATAAGGAAGAACATGCACCAATTGCTAATGGATGATATTTGATTTGAATAAAAAGGACGAGAAGAAAGGTAGTAGAAGATAATGCTCTTGCTCGTCTTTGCTCTTGCCCTCCTAAAATGGGTGGACTTGCTTTAAGTTACACGAGAAATAAGAAAGCGTTTGAACCCGACAACACTGGATTAACCAGGAAGAATAATATTATACACTATAAATATAATTTTTTGGTTCAAAAAAGGAAGAACATGCATGCACCACTTGCTAATGGTTGATATTTGACTTGAATAAAAAGGACGAGAAGAAGATGTAGTAGAAGATAATGGTTGTAGTTATCAGGTTAAAGCACGCAATAATAACGATTAGTGGGATATGGGATGGGATGCCATGATTTGATTTGACGGATTCGAATTCTTATTCCACACCCACACCCACATCCACACACCCACACCCCCACACACCCAGCAAGCAACCAGTAGCGCACAACTTCATATTCTCTCTACTCTCCTGTCTCCTCTACTCAACCAAATCCCCCTCTTCTTTTTCTGATCGATCGATATATTTTCCTTTTTTATTCCAGTGGGAAGGTTGTGGACCAACCTTTGCACTGACAATCATGATAATTTATTTTAATTATTGCTATTACTGGATTATTGGATTATTTAACTTAAAAGAGTCCTTCCTCGTCCTCCTTGTCCTTTGCTGTTTCCTGTGGTCTCCTGGTGTGCCACGCCCATGCCTATGCCTGCCTGAAACTAGCAAGTTCTTGTCTTTCCCTCCATTTGTTTTAGTTTTTTATATTTTCTTTTCTTTTATTTATTCATGTTTTGTGTGTGCCATGCCTTGTTGTTTTATTTCTCAGGTTTTTAATGGTTGTGTTTGTATTGGGAGGACTACTAAACCACTCCCTCTCATACATATATTTCTGCCTTTTCTTTTCACCCAAGGGATGATTAATAGGCATTATCATCTGATTCTTCCAACCTTAGACAAGGAGGAATGTTTTTTACTATCTCAATTCTTATTGGCTCGGTTCGGTTTGGTTTGGTTGAGTTCTTACTTAGCTAAATGAATTTTGATTCTGGTAAACTAGTTGGAAACATAAATGAATTTGAAGGAGAATTATCTAACTCGGAAGAAAAAACGATCAAATTAGACGTGGGAAGTGGGAACACATACATAATCCTTGAACACAGTTGATTGTGGGGCAAGCAAGCGTCAAATTAGTACCACAACATAATATCCTTAATTTAACCTAATTTTAAACCTTTCCTCCATGCATCTTAAAAGTTAAGTTTTCTATTGATTCTGGTGTATTTTGATTTTCCCTGTCTCTGTTTGATTTGAACTCTAGTAGAACATGCTTTGTTATTCTTTAGATAGTCTGCTCAAAAGGAGGTGGCTAGAGCCTAGAGCCTAGAGGTGAAGTCGGAGACATGTCTCGTGTATTTTCTCGCTCGCATCCTTTCAAGCCAATCATAAAATGGTTAATCTTACTCCTTTTGCCAACAATCGGGTTTGCATCTACGGAGCCAGACGTGGAAGGTATATATACAATGCTAGTGATATACTCTTTAAGCAAGATTTTTTGGTCGTCGGTTCATGTTCTGACATTATCGATATGCATGGATGTAGTTTATATTTAAGAACTGCATTCTTCACTTTGATAATGTGCAGGTGAAGCATTGACCGATTTGCTCACCGCATTGAAAGATTCGAGTGGCCGAATAACAGATTGGAATGATAATTTCGTGAGCCCCTGTTTTAGCTGGTCTCATGTCACTTGTAGAAATGGAAATGTCATATCCCTGTAAGTGCATCTAAATGTAACACATGATTCCCTGGTCTTTAATTTTTGTGATCATTGCTGTATTTGAAAGTGATTTGTCTTTGCAGGAGCCTGGCTTCAAATGGATTTTCTGGAACACTTTCTCCTTCGATTACTAAGCTGAAGTATTTGGCTAGCCTGTAAGTATACTTGTCGATGCACACGTATGATTTTCGGAAATTAAGCTTGTGAAACTTGAAGGCATCTGGACCTCACTCAAATTTGTGATGGTATACTTTTTTGGAAACATCCTCGGCCACTAAGGGTTTGTTTGGTATCCTATTTGAATTTTTTTATTATTTTTCAAAACATTTCTTGAAAATAATTTTCTTTAAGACTAAAAAACTTGATTGGTTTTTTAAATCTTACAACTTAAACTAGACCAAGAGATCTAAAAAGAGGGGGTCGCAAGAGAGGGAGAAAGAGGAAAGAGGAGGAAAGAAAGTAAAAGATGATTGAAGGAAAGAGAGAGAAGAGAGAGGATTGGACGAGTTAGATAGAAATATAAGTGAGAGAAAGAACCGAGTGAGTGAAGATAGCAGATTAGAGGAGAGACGAAAAAAGTAAAAAAAAAAAAAGAAGAGAAAGAAGAAAAGATAGAGAGATAGATTTGGAGTGAGTGGGGAGGAGGAAGAGAAAAGAAATGAGTGAGTTTAAGTTTAAAAACTCTAAAAACTCATTTTATATGTTTTTAGAGAATAGACTATATTTTTGAGTTAGTCGTGAGTTCAGTTTTTGAAAATAGTCTTACCAAACAAATTTTTAAAGCCTAAAACTTAAAAATTGTTTTTGAGTTTAAAAAATTGAATTCAAATAGAGTATTAAACAGGCCCTAAAAATCTGAGCCATGTTCCTCGCCACCACAGAATACTTTGCCTATACATCCGAGCAGCAACTGTCCATATCTCTTTTTTTGTCCTCTGTAAATAATCCTTTCCTGATTCTCGTCGCGCTGAGTTCTAAGCCAAGACATAACCACTGAATGTCAATATCCTATTTCCCCTAAACGGTGTTGTCCAGAGTGTGCTAGTTTCTCTTAAATAATCTTGCACTACCAACATCTTTGTTATTTAGTTGTTTGTTTAGTTCTGAAGATAGTATTTTTGCATCCGAGTCATGAGTTTTGATAAAACAATTTCGTTTATGCAGGGACTTCCAGAATAATAATCTAACGGGCCTTTTGCCCGTTTATCTTGCAAACTTGACACACCTGCAGAATCTAAATCTTGCAAATAATAATTTCAGAGGTCCTATACCAAATGCTTGGGGTCAGCTTTCCAATTTGAAGCATTTGTAAGAGCTGCAATTTCTGTTCCTAGTGAGCTTGCATATCATATGTGCGACATTACGTTCTTGTATGTATTCTGTTATATCCGAGTGTTGCACATTCCTGTGGTTGATTCAACTGTAAGCAATTCTTGGTTCAGAACCCTGCTGTTGGTCTTATTCTTTACCAATTCTAAATCTTCTTTTGGCAGGGATCTTTCATCGAATGAGTTGACAGGAAGAATTCCAATGCAATTCTTTACCATTCCAAATTTCAAGTACGATTCCTATCACCAACTCTGATTCTCGATTCCCGCTGCTGCATTATACATTGTTAATGCCTCGTTATAAACTGTTTTTTTTTTTTGCCATACAGTTTCACAGGATCACATCTTGATTGTGGTTCTAGCTTGAAGCAGCCTTGTGTTTCTGGCTCTTCTCTCCAAGGTTTATGCTTTGTACAACTCTACTGTTTCGGTTTACCAATTATGTTTGAATTGCCTAGGAATAACCTAATACTTCAAAATTTGGCAGCTTCAAACAGGAAATCAAAACTTGGAACAGTTATAACCTCGGCAAGTTGCAGTGTATCAGTAATTCTGTTGATAGGGGCTCTTTTCGCATATCGATACTATCGCATGCACAAACTAAAATATGATGTCTTTGTTGACGTTGCAGGTAAATTTTCCTTGCCTTTTAACTTTTGCGATCACTTTTACTCTCTACTAAGCATCGTTATGGAAAATTAAATTGAAATCATCTCAACCGAATTAAGGTAGAACCTATCATGTCCCTCTCACAAGGTAAGAATTGATTTGTAGGAGGTTAGTAAATCAGATGAATAAATATTTCTTACCGATGAACTGCATTGAACGTTTCAAATGCATGAAATGCAGGTGAAGATGAGTGCAAAATTTCCTTTGGCCAGTTGAAAAGATTCTCTTGGCGTGAAATTCAGCTCGCCACGGATAACTTTGATGAAAGCAACATAATTGGACAAGGAGGCTTTGGAAGAGTTTACAAAGGTGTCCTCTCAAACGATGTACATGTTGCAGTGAAACGCCTTACTGATTATAACAGTCCTGGTGGAGAGGCTGCATTCCTTAGAGAAGTACAACTCATTAGTGTTGCAGTTCACAGGAATCTTTTACGGTTGATTGGATATTGTACAACCCCATCTGAGAGAATCCTTGTTTATCCGTTCATGAAAAATCTTAGTGTTGCATATCGCTTGAGAGGTATGTCCCCAAACGAGCATTGCGTGAGTTCAACTTTCTATTTCCTTGTTTCATGTGTGAGTGGCTTGGAACACAAGCATGTTTTCAACCATAATTTGAACTTCTATTTATGCTTGACTGTTTAATATTTTGATTATACATTTTATCCCTGGTATATGTTTCAGATCTAAAACCTGGTGAGAAAGGGTTGGACTGGTCGACAAGGAAACACATTGCTTTCGGTGCAGCCCATGGTTTGGAGTATTTACACGAGCATTGCAATCCGAAGATAATACACCGTGACTTGAAGGCTGCAAACATTCTTCTAGATGATAAATTTGAGCCTGTTCTTGGAGATTTTGGGCTAGCAAAGCTGGTTGATACAAAATCAACTCATGTTACCACTCAAATACGCGGAACCATGGGGCATATTGCCCCGGAGTATTTGTCCACCGGAAAATCGTCAGAAAAGACTGATGTTTTTGGATACGGTATCACACTTCTCGAACTTGTCACTGGTCAGCGTGCAATAGATTTTGCTCGGCTGGAAGAAGAGGAGGATGTTCTTCTGCTTGATCATGTAAGATTTATCGTCTCTTTTTATAATTTCTCGAACTCTTTCGACATATGTACAAATTCTTTAATGGGATTTTTTTTCCTGTTAAAGTGGTACGTTTTATGGTTTAGGGTTTAGGATAAATTGTCGTTTTAACTTCAAACTTATTCGGGTTCCAATGCAGCTCTCGATATTTTGAGAAGAAGTTTCAACCACATTGAACTCCTTTTTCATATTTTGTGCTTTAATTGTTGCTACTTTCTGTTTGTTGTGTTGAATGACCTAAATACGATGTCGACAGATCAAGAAGTTGCTGAGAGAAAATAGGCTTGACGACATTGTGGACAGAAACATGAAGATGCATGATCCAAAAGAAGTTGAGACAGTCATTCAGGTTGCGTTGCTGTGCACTCAAAGCTCACCAGAGGACCGTCCAAAAATGGCAGAAGTTGTTAGATTGCTACAAGGAGTGGATCTAGCAGAGAGATGGGCCGAGTGGGAGCAGCTCGAAGGTGTAAGGAATCGTGAATTCTCACTCTTGTCTCACCAGTTTGCTTGGGCCGACGAGTCTACACATGATCAAGAAGCTATACAGTTGTCCAAGGCAAGATAGTGTTCCTTAATAATTAGATGCTCTAATCTAAATTAATCCAAAAACTTCACTTCATATCTCGAATATTACAAATTATTAATTGTATCATATCTTAGTAATAATTATATAAATCTGTGTGTAAAGATATATAAGAGAGGAGAAAGGAAAATAAAGTTGTGGGATATTATATATGAGTTTGGAACATGTTCGTATGGTCTATATATGCATGAGATATTTCTTTAGGTGTTGAGTTCGATTGAACCAAGAAACTTGATCATCAATTCATCTTTCCAATAACAGCCATTAGGCAGTTGTTTCGGAAAATTCACTTTTGTGAGTTCGGAATCGGAAACAAAGTAAAGTTTCCCCAAATTGGCATTTGAAAGAAGATAAATGCTAGTTTATTAACAGTACTAGCTTCAGTTGAACACCTTGTAGTGAGCCACACTTAACAAGTTTCGTTTCGTTTAGGTCCATTTATAAGAATATATTTGTTGTAATCGAACTTTTTATTTATTTTATTTTATCTTACATTAATTTTAGAAACTTCAGTGGTACGAAAGAATATTATCGTTGTAAACGAACTTGATCTGTTAAGCTGAAAGTCAGAAGAAAAAAGTTGGCAAACCATCATCACCTTCAATTCTCTGTCAGACTCTTATCTCTTACATGAAACGCATAAAACAAATTTGTCGTTGTAACGCTTGATCCTAATTGAAACCCATAGATTGGGCCGACTCGCTCCATATTGCGCCAAGGCGCCATATTGCCCCATATCGCTATTTCTGCCATGCAAAATCTTGAAAGCTCCCTTGGTCTATAGGAAAACCCTATGCCCAAAATTACAATGAGCCAGAGTTGATTAAAGATAGAATTCTTTTTAGGGAGACTCAATTCGGATGCTAGACATTAACATCTTGTGACTAAAATCTTAATGATTTTCAATTTTTTTATCAAAGCAATGTCATCATTAGGGATGCGAGCCTAATTTCCTCTTCTTTTTATCAAAACTTAACAATTCCCGGTTTCTGGAAGGGGTGGATAACTGTGGTTTGTCAAAAAAAAAAAAAAATCAACACATAACAATTGATTTAGATACATCCATAACATAGGTGATGCCAATGCAAATCGAGAAAGCAATATACAATTACAAACAATTCATGGGGACTGGCTATAGTACTTACAAGTACTTAGTACCATTGTACAAGGGGTGATAAGTTGTGAAACATAATTGTAATTCCCTATAAAAGAGAGAGAAGATATACATAAGGAAAAGTTCAAAACTATTACAATAATTTAAGAGATGAGAAAGTTTCAAATCACGGATACATGAGGAGAAACTTAACACACTATTCACCAGTATAATGTACCACATGCAATAAGAAAGCTAGACCACCTGAGTGGCACCACTTGATGGATGGTTATGAGGGTGTGACGTATCATCGGAGTAAAGCCCATGCTTAGTAGCATCATACTTCTCACCGTCACCCCACAATGCGTACGCCTCTTCCCCGTGCACTGCGTCGTCCCCGATCAGCAATTGTTCCTCCGGCATACGCAACGGAACTATAAACCTTAAGACGATGCAAATAATGGAGGTGACCACAAGGTTCCATCCAATGACAAACAGCCCTCCTACAATCTGCTTGAGGATTTGCATGCCTCCTCCGTAAACCCCTCCTCGTGAGTTTGTGACCGGTAAAAAGAGTGCACACAGTTGGGGCTCTGCGAAGAGACCCGTTAAGATGCCGCCAAGAAAGCCGGCCACAGCGTGGGTGTGAACTACGCCGAGGGTGTCGTCAACTGCGGATAACATTTTCCACCTCTTGTCTACGATCATCATTGTGAACCATGGCACACTGCCTGACATAATTCCCATCACTATTGCGGCCCATCCTTGAACAAGACCTAATTCAATAGCATACACACGCGACAATTTTCTATCAGTACTCTATGATAAAAAAAGAAAAGAAAAGAGTATATAGGTCATAGATGTAGGGGGATAACAATCATAAGGTATGCTTGGGGTGAGGGAATTCTAAATTCTAAGACATTTAGGCAAAATGAAGAAGAAACGAATCACAAAAACTTATGTAGAAGGAATTAGAAAATGCATTATATGAGTACTACAAAGGCATGTAGGAAGAATTTGTAAATGACTCCTTCAAAATAGTCATATGCAAATCCCTCTGATATACCTTTTGCAATGCTCATATGGTGTATTTCTAACTCTTCTGTCATCTAACTTTTTGTGATTTATTTTTTCATCACTATACTTAAATCCATTAGAATTTAGAAGTTCCTCACCAAAACATTGTACATTATAATCAGGATTTTCTTTTTCTGTCTTTCCGCACACACTAACATAATAATTTTTTGATTTAATTACATTGTGGACTCTTGTAAATAGCTCCAAACCCATAGAAGTGCAAAGTATAAATAGGAAATATTTTAGTTTAAATATTAAATTCAAAGAAAACTTTTAATTAAAATATCATATTTTTTGTTTAATTTTTAGTTTAAGTACCGTTGGAAAAGTCAACCAAAACAATTCTATACATATTACTATAATGCAAAATAATTACAATGATCGCCACTCAATCCTATTACGTTTCCAGACTGGCCAAATATTTTTAGCAACTGAACAATCAAAATTTTCAATCTCAGGGTCACAGTCCAAAAATGACTTTAAAAAAATTGTAAAATGATGAATTTTCTAATAAGTTATGTAATTTTATTGTATATACATGTGAAATGCTAATAAACTCACACAACGAACGTAATTGAAAATGAAACACTTGCACATATTGTTATTTTTAATACCACTATTGCACAATGACTTAAAATTTTCCGTCAATTGGAAATTTTTTCAACACCAATGACGGTGACTTGCAACAATTTCCGTCATTTGTGCTGGTGGCATATGTGCCATGTGCAATAGGGCAAAATGTATATGTTCATATGCATAAGTGTTGGTCCACAAATTGTGATGTATATAATCCAAATAGAATGAGTTGGACTTGATAATTTCATTTTTCCTTAAAACCTATATAATGAATTGATATTTAATCTGAATATGCTCTATAATTAGAATTTTTTTAAACAAAGGATGTAGGTACGTAGTGTGTTTCAAGTTGTCAACTATTGCGACATACATAGTTTGATAATAAATAAATATTTTTAAGGCATCGAATTATGTATTAACTTTCTTTGAGAGAGAAATGTTTGTATGAAATTAGATGAAAAATAAAAGTCAACTTTGCTTAACTTGTTTTTAAGGTGCCTCGCTAGTTATACAAGACATGTATATACCTGCAGCAGGAGTAATGCAGACGAGGCCAGTGATCATTCCCTGGACAGCTCCGATGACGGAGGGCTTGTCGAAGAAAATGACATCAAGCACAGTCCAGACCAAGAGGCTCGTTGCAGCGCAGATGTTGGTGTTGAGGACGGCCATCGATGAGTCCGTGTTTGCCGAGTACGGATCTCCGCCGTTAAAACCCGCCCATCCCATCCACAGCAACCCGGCTCCTGCCAACACCAGCAGTACATTGTTTGGTGGAAATCTCTCCCTGTCCTTCTTCACTCTTGGTCCTACCTGCATGTCAATTCATACAATACAACCTTATATTGTCAACTCTTACAATACAAACTTACATGTCCGTCCACATCTCACAATACTATATTACACTCATAAATATAAAAAATTTCTGTCCACGTCCAGGATCCACCCTTATTAAGTTGTTATTAATCTAAACCCTATTTAAGATTCAAAATTAGCACGCAACATCCAAGCACAAGGCTTGCAACTACGACATTTAATACTAATTCATATAGAAATCTTTTCTTTTTGTTTATTTGCAATTAGATTTGTTTTTAATATTTTGATGTCCATGTCCACGGTCCAGCAGGGTTAAGTAATTTTTAATCTAAACCCTAATTAAGATTCAAATACTAACATCCAAGCACAAAGCATGCGGCTACAACTTCAAATTAACGCAGCATGATCTGGCCTTCATTCTTTAAGCTTAGTCAAATCAATTTTGTCATTCCAACACGTTAGACCATCCATATAAACAATTGTTTTTTAAGCAGAAAAAGAACAATTTGTATGGAGTTTTGAACATATACTCATTAATTCTTTTTTTTTTTCCATGGTTACATGAACATAGCTAGAAAACCTTGTAATTGAATCTAGAGAGTTTGACCCGGCCCATTTTCTTGAAACAGTCTGTATATCTGATGGCCATTAGGGAACTTTAACGAAAAACACCTGGTACTGTTCACTTTAACGAAAAACCACATTTTTACACTAAAAAGTCAATCCTGGTACTATTCACTTTACCCTTTATTTAAAGTTTTCAAGCCCTTTTCATTAGTTTTCCTTAAGATAAACTTGTTGTAATGGAAAAAATGGTTTTATTCTATTTAAGTGCCTAATGATTTTTGAATTTGATGAATTTTTGCAAAGATTAATGAATTAAGAAACAAGTATTCATCAGTTGAATTGTCAAAATTCATTATAAATTAGGCCCCATAATCCTTCAAATAAATTTATTTGCTGAATCCTTCAACGGAATGACCCACATATATATAGGAGTCTAACATGTGAAATAACATGTTAATGTGATTATATCAACTATCATTATTAAAATTAATTCTTATTTGAATACAGTGCATAATTGCATATATGTCTTTTTCCAAAAAAAAAAAAAATTGCATATATGTCAAATAACTAGTGTGATTGATGGCTATCCAGTGGAACAAAACCTACACCGAATGTCAAATCAAATAATTAATAATTTTTGGAAGATACCAAAAGAAATGAACATTAAGTCACAACTCAATCATGCAATTTAAGGAGTAATGTTAAGAATATCAAATTTTTAAATCAAAATTTTAAATTAAATAATTTGTTATTAATAGAAAATAAGCACATTAATCAATACTTAAGTAATAGTTTAATCATCAACAATTACATTATTTGATTTGCAAATTTAGTTTAAAATTTTTAGTTTCCCTAGTATTAGTTAAAATTAAAATAAGAAAACAAGTTAAAGGAGAGCCACTATTTCCTGAATGAGGATCCTCTTTGTGAGGATTCCGAAGATTTTCAATCATGTCTATTCATCATATATCGTGCGATCGAAAATTATTTTAAATTTTATATTTAAAATTGAATACAAATAGTATTTGATAAAAATTGACTGCACAATTTACGACAAATGGACACTATTAAAAGATTCCTTGATCCTCGCAAACAAAATTCGAAAAAGATCCCTCATTCCTATTTCCTAACATGAGAAAGGATTAATGGACAAATAATTAATTTAAATAAAGGACAACTAGACTTTGACTAAATGGGAAGAAATTAGTAAGTTGTGGAAATTTGGTTTTTACAGGGTCAAATTAACGTACCCAGTACGCAGTGGTGAAGCCGGCAATCCCGGAAGAAAGATGAATGACGTAACCCCCGGAGTAGTCCATGACACCCCATTGGAACAAAAATCCGCCACCCCACAAGCTGAAAGCACCCACCGTGTACGAAAACGTCAGCCACAGAGGCACGAACATCATCCACGCCTTGAAGTTCATCCTCCCAAGCACCGACCCCGCCAGCAGAATCAGTGTGATGGCCGCAAACACACACTGAAACCACACCATCGTAGCCATCGGATACAACGGCTCGACCTCAGCGGTTTCGACAGTGTGGTTGCTGAATTTGTGGGTGCTGGAGGGGAGAGCTGCCCGGTTGATGAGGAACTTCTGGCCCAAAGCCGGGCCAGCTCTGCCCCAGAACGGGAGGAGTTTCTCCCCGAAGGACATCTTGTAGGCCCAGCATACCCAGCAGAGGACCACAGCGGCAAAAGCGTAGAGAGCCATGAAGGCTGAGTTAACCGCCCATTTCTTTTTAACGATACTGCCGTAGAGGATGACGAGACCCGGCACACTCTGCAGACCAACGAGGGTGGCAGATATCATTTGCCATGCGTTGTCCCCCTTGTTCAACCAGTCTGGCACTGCCCCCGCCCCTCCCTGGTATGCAATCGGCACTGGGTTTGGAGGAGGACTAGCCATCATGCACCAACTGGATAAATCGAGACTACAGTATTTTTGTGTGTGGAGACTGAAGGGGTTTCGATTATACAAGATAACAATACAGCACAGGGAAAAGGCGGTTTATATAAATGTGGATACCGCAGATTCTAGTACAATTCGACAAATAAAAAGAATAAATAAAACTGGTAGATAAAGAAGTGGAGATGGGGTTGAAATTCAATCTCAAGATTGGTGGATCATAATGATACGAGGAAAAGTCGGGCAGTGTAATTTCGCACAAAAGTTTGAGGTTCTAATTTAAGGATTTAGATCCTCTCTTGAGCTGGGAAAAGTCAGGCAGTGTAATTTGGCACAAAAGTTTTAAGGTTCTAATTTAAGATACTAATTACGACGGTTTTTGTCGAATTATTGGGCCATTGGACTTTCTTTCTTTATTATAAATCAAAATAAATTAAGGACAACTGGCCTTGAAGATGCAATTCGTCCCGTGAATCTTTGCTCAAAAGTAGCAGAATCTTGTTGCCTGTATCATAAGCTGACACCTGAATATTCAATGAGATATCCCCCTTACTCTCGCTATGTGCTTACCGCAAACTAAGATCGCCTACCATGCTCTTTTATTTGGTCAAAAGCCTACCATGTTCTTACGTGAAGCATCATATGATGCTTCCCATTCTACAATTCTATTTCACATTTTTAAAAGAGCCAATACATTCTTAAAGCAAATAATTAAAATTTGAAAGAGTTTGAAATTAACTCAATGTATCTACGAAATTTTACGAGTAGTTTGATTATGTAAAAATATAACTCCTTGTATTAATTTGGGTAAAGTATTACAATATATATATATATATATATATATATATATATATATATATATATATATATATATATATATATATGTGTGTGTATGTATGTATGTATGTGTGGTTATGTCAATCCCTATTTAGTATATATTGAAGTAGGAATCTTATGCTAATTCTCAGAAATAATGGGTTGTAAGTTTCTTTTCATTTTATTACATTGGCTCTGTAAGGTGCTCCTTATATTACAAACTATATGATTAATATCTAAAACCATTAACAACTGTTGTAAATAATGGGTATGTTTGCCCACATGTGTGTACTATATACTCACAAGCTAAATAGTAATGTTTTGTAATTTTCCATTGAAGTGGCTCTATAAATAGAGCACTTCATTTGTGCAAAAGAGTGAATAAGAAGAAGAAAGAAAAGAGAAATATATCTAATAGCAATAATATACATTACTTCCTCAGCAACAGCTTGTGTTGGTATAATACTCTGCAATTGCTTCGTTCCTGTCTCGAGTAAAGGTTATCTCTCTATAAATTTTGCCTATTTATAACACGTTATCAGCACGAGTCTCTAAGTATAACCATGTCTCATTTACATTCACTAAACAATAAAGGAAATCATTCTCTCATTTCTCTCTGCCGAACGAAAAAAAAAAAAAATGTTTCCTCTAAGGTTTTTCCTGTTCATCTTCTTCATCTGCCTCAACTGCGCGGTATATCCTCGCGACGAACTATTTGCTCCATGCCTGCTCGTAGTTCTCCAACTAGCGGTTACATACATCTTTGATTACTTGTTTGGTTTGGATATTGATTACTAACATAGTATTTATATTGATTTTACTGCAATCCAAGATGGTGCGGTACAATCGCCCATCTTGAACTGCAAATTTCATCTTACTGCGATCCAAGATGGTGCGGTATCATCGCCTATCTTGGACTGCAGATCTACTTTTACTGCAAATTTTAAGTGGAGCGGTATAATCGCCCGCTCTATCCTGCATATTTAAATTTTCCCGATATTTAATTTTATCGCAATTTTAGGTGGTGTGAAATAATCACCCACCCTGCTTTACATATTTAATTTTATCGCAATTTTAGGTGGTGTGAAATAATCACCCACCCTGCTTTACATATTTAAATTTTATCGCAATTTAAATTTTATTGCAATTTTAGGTGGTGCGGTATAATCGTCCACCTTGCTCTACATATTTAAATTTTCCTGCTGTTTAAAGTAGTGCAGAATAATCGTTCATCCTATACTTATTTCAATGAGAATGGTGCGGTACAATTGCCCTTCTCATTAATTGTGTAAATCTTGAGCCTGAAGTTTCGAGTACTTATCATTTTGGCCTGAAGATCAAAAATTTGTAAGAACCAGAAGTTCTAACAATATATTTCTCCAGTACACATATTACTGCAAGTTCTTACACACCTCATTTTTCTTTCAGAAAAGAAAATGGCAAACTTGGCAAAGCTTGATTTTGCTGCCCTGGACATTACTGGAAAGAATTACCTTACATGGGTACTGGATACCAAGATCCATCTGGAAGCAGCAAATCTTGGAGATACCATCAAGGAAGAGAGCAGCTCATCCTCTCAAGATCGGGCAAAGGCCATGATTTTTATTCGTCGCCATCTTGATGAGGCACTAAAGAGCGAGTACTTAACGGTTGAAGATTCGTTAGCCCTTTGGAATGCCTTGAAAAGCAGATACAATCACCAGACAACGGTGATTCTTCCAAAAGCTCGCTATGACTGGACGCACCTAAGGATCCAGGATTTCAAATCAGTGGCTGAGTACAATTCGGCGTTGTTCAGAATTACCTCTCAGATGAAACTCTGTGAGGATACTATCACTGAGGAGATGTTATTGGAAAAGACTTTCAGCACATTCCACGCCTCTAACATGGTACTGCAACAACAGTATAGAGCGTGAGGCTTCACTGAATACAACCAGCTGATATCTGTGCTCCTGGTAGCTGAACAGAATAATGAGCTTCTCATGAAAAACCATAATTCCCGACCTACTGGATCAGCACCGTTCCCAGAAGTGAATGTTGCTTCCCTTGAAAGGAATACCATATCCTCCCGTGGCAATAATTACAAACGAGGACGTGGCCACAAGCAAGGTCGGTGGAAAGGGAAAAGCAAGAACCATGGTGTCCAGTTTCACAACCAGGTTCCAAGGTATAATCCAGGCCCGAGCTTTAAAAATACCAATCGCCAGAAAGGAAAAGCTCATGTGAACACTCCTAGAAATCATGAAGGAGGTTGCCATATGTGTGGTGGCAACGGACATTAGGCGCGTACTTGTCGCACCCCAAAGCATCTGGTGGAACTATATCAAGCCTCCTTCAAGGAGAAGGGTGTCGAGATCAATTTCCTTGACCAGGCTAAACCAATGGAAAACCCTGATCCAGTGACCAATTTATCAGGACAGTTAAACACAACCCACCTGGATGCTACAGACTTTATTAATGAAAGAGGGAATGAAGTTTATGGGTTCGATTGAATTATTTATGTTTAATGTACTCATGTTATTTGTACTTGTGGTTTAATGCTCGCATTTTCAATTCAATAAAAGTAGTATTCCAGTATGAATAAACTGCTTTTTCTTTACTCAGAGATCATGGATAAAAATTATGGTTATTCTCAAAACAAGATCAATGGCGGAGACTTTTGTCTTGCAGATAGCGCAACCACGCATTCAATACTTCGAGATCGAAAGTATTTCTCGAATTTGGTACTTGCAAGTAAAGGTAACAACAATATCAGGACCATCAGATGTAATTGAAGGCTCAGGAAAAGCCCAGATTATGTTACCAAATGGAACAATATTGTCTATAAAGAATGCATTATATGCTACTCGGTCCATTCAAAATTTGTTAAGTTTTAAAGACATACGTCTAAATGGATACCACCTTGAAACGAAAAGTGTAGAAAATGTGGAATATTTATGCATTACCTCCAATGATACCCAGAAGCGTATATTGGAGAAGTTGCATGGTTTATCGAGTGGATTGTATTGTACATACATAAAGACAGTTGAGGCATATACTGTCATGAACCAGAAGTTCATTGATTCAAAGGTTTACATGCTTTGGCATGACCGTCTAGGTCATCCAGGATCTACCATGATGCGTAGAATCATTACCAACTCTAATGGACATCCATTACTGAGCAGACACATTAATATCTCGAATGATAAACCTTGCAAGGCTTGTTCCCAAGGGAAGTTGGTAATTAGACCATCACAACTAAAGGTTGATGATGAATCCCCATCATTTTTGCAAAGAATTCAAGGGGATATTTGTGGACCTATTCAACCACCTTGTGGACCATTTCGATATTTTATGGTTTTGGTTGATGCATCTACCCGATGGTCACTTGTTTGCCTATTGTCTACTCGAAATGTAGCTTTTGCAAGACTTCTTGCTCAGATAATTAAGTTGCGAGCACAGTTCCCAGATCATCCCATTAAGTCCATTCGACTTGATAACGCTGGTGAATTTACGTCTCAAACCTTTGATGATTACTGCATGACATTGGGCATTGATGTTGAACACCCTGTTCCTCATGTCCATACTCAAAATGGTTTAGCAGAAGCATTGATCAAGCGGCTTCAGTTAATAGCCCGCACTCTGCTTATGAAAACCAAATTGCCTATTCTGCATGGGGACATGCCATTCTACATGCTGCATCATTGGTTCGATTGAGACCTATAGCCTACCATCAATACTCTTCAATACAACTCGTGTTTGGACATCAGCCAAACATTTCACATTTACGAGTTTTTGGTTGTGCTGTTTATGTGCCTATTGTACCCCCGCAACGCACTAAAATGGGACCTCAGCGTAGACTGGAAATTTATGTGGGTTTTGATTCACTATCTATTATTAGATATTTGGAACCCTTGACAGGTGATATGTTTACAGCTCATTTTGCTGATTGTCATTTTGATGAGACAGTCTTCCCATCGTTAGGGGGAGAAAAGACCGTTCCAGAAGAACGGAAAGAGCTGACATGGGTTGTTCCCACCTTGTCTCATTTTGATCCTCGAACCCTTCAATGTGAAAATGAAGTGAAAATGATCGTTCATCTTCAAAGCATTGCCAATCAAATGCCAGATGCATTTAATGACGCTATGAAAATGACAAAATCGCATATACTAGCTGCAAATGCACCTGCCAGAATTGATGTCCCTGTT